TGCATCTGCTGCCTACTTATACTCACGCTGTGATCAGCAGCAGCTGGATGCAATAATCGCATGCCAATGTGCATTGGCTCGTTTAGTTTACACTCGAAGTAGATTGGTCCCTCTAAGCGAGATCCCAATTCGTCGGTCATCCGACGTGACGTCGAGAGTGACCGACTGAAAGGGAACTCAGGAGTTCTATTTAGCTGCCTTCAAGGAAAATGATGATAATAATAACAAATAAATAATAGAGTAAGAGAGTAAAATATTCCACCATCATTAAACATACATTTCTATCGGTAGCATTTCAAACATTGATTATTTATATAATGCTTGTGGAAATACACCATATGTTGTTTTACTTTATTAGCCTATGTATTATTAAACACAACACTTTATTGTCATTATGAATTCCGTTATAATTCCACATCTATTTTGAGCAGTTACCATTTCAATTGGATGTATTCACTGAGGAAACAGAATTGGAATTTAAAATACATTCTCAATTCAATTCTGAATGGTGCATAAACCCTAGACACATACATTTATGCAAACCCAAAATCAAAAATATCCTTTACAATGACATCCAGTATTTTAGTAATCCATTAATGCTGCAGAATACTGCTGTGAATGAATTGTGAGACCCTTGTTTTGTAGAATATCAATGCTAAATAAATGGGAATTTAAAATTTTGAGAGATTAAGTAGTGTAACAGAGATAGATCTCTTTTGCTTTAAAAGAGACAGTTATGTATTCCGTAAGTATATGAGAACAGAATTGCTACGAACAGAAACAGAGGAGAGAGATGAACGCCACAAACTGTGAACCTTGAATGTTTCGAACACTGAAGTAACATTGAAATCAGAAATCAGAGGTTTTGATCTGTGTTTTCTGATCATGCAGTGTTAGGGAACAACTAAAAGCAGCAACAGAAAAATATGGCTCAGATTAAATCCTAAACACAAATCATTGGATAGTTATCTATTTAAAAAATATACTGGCCCATAAGCATATTCAGTGTGGTTGGCTACTTTTTGGTAGTAGCGTGTGGTGTTTGCTCCTTGTAGCAAAAAATGTTGCTTTATAGTGAAGTCAGTGCAACAACCGGACAGCCTCAAATCCAGCAGACCGTGCTTCTATTAAAGTCCCCAGAACAAAACCATAAATTATTGACATTAGGTTTTATATAGAACATTTTAGACCATTAGCGTGAAAGGCTTTAATGCAACCTCAATGGAAGAGCTTTAAAAACGTCCTTTTTTTAGGAATGGCACAAGCAACATTTTCCTGTTGATTAAACAAGTTTAAATGCACTGCTTAAGTAGTACTGCTGAATATTTTAGAAGGGACTCTACTATTACGACACCATTAATGTGTCTGCACACTGTGTTTTATAATAAATTAAATACGGTATTTTCAGCTTGACATTAAAATTATTTTATAGAGGCATGTAAGATATTTAAACAATCTTGGCTTAGAAGGACAAAATCAGTAAATACAAAAGGGCAGGGTGGGGGCAGCAAACTGATGATTCTCTAGAGCTTTAAATCAGCACAAATCAGACAATAAAAAATTTTTTTATCTGACCTACTGTTCCTAAAGCAGAAGAGAACCAAAAGATTTTCATATTTTTGTGGAGATATTTTTCTGAAGAGTCAAAGAGTGGTACTTGCAAGTGCAAAAGTCACCGTCACTATGCAAGTGTGTTGTGGGTGGCTGCCAGGGCATTGTTATGTGGTTGCTAATGTGATCTGAGTGTTTTCTAGAATGGTGCAATGCGGTTTCTACGGTGGGTACTAGGTGGTTAATTACTGGCCCAAGTTAAAAGAAGCCAGTCCCACATCACTACGATATTCTGGTCTCTGACATGGCCCACATCCCTCCTCCATTTTCACTGCTTTAACATTACCTAGGCCAAAATTGTAAGATTTTTTGTCCATAAACACCCTTGTGAAAAAGTACACTTTAGCATACTTCTAAAAAGACTTTATTTCACAGTATGTGCACTTACCTGTACTTACAGTGAACTTACCTAAGAAATTACTGGATGATAAAAGGTAACTACATGGGTTAGGTGTAGGTTCAGGGTTAATACCTAGTTATTACCCAGTTATTGCAATTACTATAAAATGTACATAAGTACATATGGGGAAGGGCTGTAAAATAAAGTATTACTGCTTTTTTGGTCCACTTAAGTACATATTTATTTGGAATTTCATAACTACAATTGTATTTGAAATATGAAATATGGTTAAAGAATGGCTGCAGCTGAAAGTACAGACAAGCATTTGAGGTAAATTAACTTACACTTAAATATGTATGTTACGTACTCAAAATTGTAATTACACATTTACAGGAAGTTTGAGGAAGTTGCTATTTAGTACTTATAAATATATTAAATGTAATATCAAATAACACTGAAGTATTTATAAACGAGTACTTTACATGTGCTTTAGTATATTAGTCAACACATCAAAATAAGTGTACTTAAAAACATGCCAAAAGATTAAGAGATTGTTCTCAAAATCTCAAATGTACTTTCAAAGTGAAATATTTAATTTGATGATATTACAAAGTGTACTTTTTAAAAGTTATGAAATATTATGAAACTTAGTCATGAAAAACTCTCTTTAAGTTACTTAAGTGGTCCATTATTTCATAAAATATTTCATAAAGTGCTCTACAAGTGCATATTCAATACAATAAAGCACACTTCTTTTTTCACAAAGGGATGCATTTTATCTATACATCTTATGCAACCGTGGTTTATTTGAGAATGTTCTCAAGAACACTCCAAAGTTTGGTCATGACGTTACTGGCAGTTCAGGAAAGTTTTCAGATTCTCATCCACTTGCTGAAGTTTCTTTTTGTGCAAAGAATAATGAGGCATCTGTTAATTATCATAACAGACGTTCCTTAAACTTTCAAACAGTCATCGCATTTACTTCTAAGATACTTAGAACTGCATTAAACCCTTTTCAAATATCAGAGTCTAATTCTAAAACACAGCTTGCTTATTTCCAGTGCTCATAAACACACACGCACACACACAGTGATATCGGGGAAAACAGGCAGAGGACCAAAGCAGGCGACCACAGCTTGAGACAGATGTCCCTAGGGATACAAGATAGAGACGAGCTGAAAAAAAGAAGAAAAAACAAACAAGCTCCTACAGTGGAACATGTGCTCCAGATGCTTGTGTTACTCCACCAAGAGTCCACCTTAATGTAGGGCCCTTTCCTGGCCCCGTCCCTAGAGAGAACTTCTGTCTTAACCACCAACGGCCCTCTCCAGATGCTTGGAAGAGAACAGCGTGAGCACAATGGATGCCAGAGAGACGACGGGGAAACATACTTGAAAGAATAACATCTTTGGGGGGATTTAGTGTAAGAAGAATGGGGGTACTCAAATGAAGGGGGCATAATAATATTACACAAATACGGTGCAACCATTTCCAGCCATGGGTGAGGATAAACAGGAAGCGCAGATGAATATTCATAGGTAATTATTTGGATGAATGGATAAATGAGGAGGTGGGTGTTTGGATGGATGAATGCAAGGACAGACGGACTCACCGGGTCTTCCTTTCCGGTCCAGAGTGGCCTTGCCGGCGTTCACAGAGCAATAGAGAAATCCATCCATAAAAGACGGAACATCAGCCGAAAAACTGCTGTCAAATACTGCTTCCAGCTTAGGAAAATCTATAGAGAGAAAAAACAGAGAGAGATTAAAAAGAAAAAGGAGAACAGCTGATTAGGAATAATCCTATAATGTGGTGAGGACGAGAAATGCTGTTTATATGGAGATCAGTCGCATTATATGCAAACGCAGCTCGCTATTCCAACTGCTTTCAAGTGAAATTCAAAGTTTTTAAAAACTATTTACCTCAGAAGCTTCTTGATAACCAGTCAGTCTTCATGCAAGGTGTCAAACAGCTTTTAAAAGCTACATTTCATCCATTTTAATATGTTTATTTTTCATTTTCCAAGGTTATTTATTAAGTAGGATTGTAACAGTGCTTAATTTGTAAATGAATAATTTCCGGATCCAAAACAGCAATTAAAAGTCGCTGTGACCGACACTGAAAATACAACTTAAGTTTTCCCGGAACATTCAGTGATGTCACTAAACGGTGATGCCACAATTATAAGAGAGCATCGTTCACAAGTTTCTGCATTAACCTAACTAGGGCACAGCTTCAAACCCTGGGTCAAAAATGGGTTGCCAGGATGATTTTAGGAAAATGTATATCTAAGATACATTAAAAATAACAAAATTTGTTTTCATAAAAATAAAATGCAATCATTGTATAGGTATAAATATGCGAAAAATATCTGACTTAATTATATTTCACATCATTTGGTATTATTTATGGTATTTATGGTATTATTACACTCTCTCCAAACGTTCTGCTGCTCACAAAACAATAAGCAGTAAGCACCAATCAATGAGTGCGAGTTTGAACTTAAGAAAGCTGAATGGTCACGGTCAAAAATATGTTGAGGACCAATACATTGTAGT